AAGAATTCTTTGCTTATCTTGTAATGATTTAGGCTTGTAATATGAAATATAGTATACTTTAACAGAACTGCCCCCTTTTGCTTATGCTTTTCTTAAGGCACACTGGGTTTGTGGGCTCACATAACACGTGATGTTTAGTTTTATGTATCAACTTAGATGGGCTGTAGTTCCCAGTTATTTAATTAAACGGTAATCTAGGTGCTGCTGTGAAGTTATTTTGTAGACGTGGACAGCCTCTACAATCAGTTGGTAGGAAAGGTGATTACCCTTGATAATGTGGGTGGGCCTCATCTAATCAGTTGAAGGTCTGAAAAATAAATCTGGTTTCCCAAAGAAATTCTGCAAGATTGCAGCAGTTTCCTGCCAGCTTGCCCTATGGATTTTAGACTCAAGACTGCAACACTGACTCCTGCCTGAGTTTCCAGTTGGCCAGCCTGTCATACAGAATTCAGACTTAACAGCCCTAGCTCATGAGCCAGTTCCTTAAAATAAATCTCTCTACATATAAATATATGCATGTATATATAATATTTGTATGCTTATGTATTATGTATATGAACACACAAAGTCTCAAAGAGTAGTCTGGCTGGTGGTACTCTCAGGTATGAAACTTTCCTTTTTTTTTTTTTTTTTTTTGAGAAGAGTATCTGGTTAATTTCTGACACAGGTAGATCTGAGGACATTGACAGATTCTGGGAGGAAGAGGCTGAAGCTAGAACTCTACCTTGCAGGCTGGGAAGGCCTTGTCCTGTATGGATCTGGTGCTGTTCCTGCCCAATGCCACGATGTCCAGTTCCTGGTGCCAGGTATGAGTATCCTTGTAGTGCTCATGCATTACCACCAAATTGAAGTGACAATCAGAGTCACCTGGAGGTCACAGTCCTATTGCTGCTTGCCAGCCACCGAGACCTTCAGCAGGGAAAATAATCAACTATTCTAGGATAGTCTAATACCCTTTTCTTAGACTTCTCTTTTGAAATGCTTTTACTGGGTGGGATCAACATAGGGAGCAAAAGTATAACCAGCTCAACAGAGGATGAAGAGCTAGAGTGATATTCTGGCCCAACGTCCCTGTCACTGACATGAGTGAACCCGTCTGAACTCCACTCACCCCAAAAACCATCTGGTGGTACTTATTGTTACCCCTATAACAGATGAAGCATGAAAATAAGAGGTGCTTGCTTGGTATCTTAGCCATCTCTTGTCAGAGGCTGCACCAGCAACTGGAGGGTTATGGTTCTCCAACCTACATTCTTTGCACTCTTTACACCCAAAAGAAATACTAAATAAAATCAAAACAAAGAATCTCACAGTAATATCTTTGGATTTTATTGGAGTATTAGAGTTGGAATACCTCACGTGCTCAGCCTGTTATCAGTCCGTGTCCAATCAGGAGATAGAAATGATTATTCAAACAGGTAAAGTTAAAGTATTATTATTAATCTGCTCTAAGAGCAACTATAGAATATAAAAAAACAAAACCTGCATTGGACCCTAGGGCTGAGGGAGAGTATCCAAGAAAGGACAAATTTGTAAAGAGGTCCCAAATCTCCAGGACTAGGGTTCAGATCTTGTTAGAAATGTGGTTGTGACCTACTGGACAGCAAAGAAGTCTGTTGGTTTGGCCTGAACCCAACATGGTCTGCAGTCTCTGGGCAACGAGAAAGCACCATCTGGGGTACAGGCAGAGTGTAGTCAGGGTGCAGACAAGCCTCAGCCAGTGCATGAATTCACAGGGACACAGAGGGAAGGGAGTCCCTGGTGGTAACTCTCCAGGGCACAAATCGGGCTATAGCCAATAGCCAGTTATGCAGTCTTGCTGAGGGACTGAGGGGGCTGGTGAGGCAGGAAGCCTGGAGTGTGTGAATTCCTGCCAGGAGGGCTGGGCATTAGAAAGGCCATGGAGCACAAATTTAGGAAAGGCACACTATTAAAGGGAGTCTGGTGCAGGCCAGAGCCCTGGAGTTCATGGTGCCCAGGTTGAGATAGCAGCAGGGATGTCATGACCGGGTTAGGCTGGGGCTGAGCAGTTATCAGGAATCACACATTCTGGTTCTGTGGTTGGGTTAGTACACAACCAAATAATCTTGGGACCCTAACTCACACTGCTAACCCACCCCAGCAACTGGGAACAGTAAGAGAACGTCCCTTCCACTTGCAATGTACCTCGTGCATCCTCTATTGAGAAATCTCATGTGCTTACTATGAAGGAGAAATGCCTAAAGGAAATCTGTCCATTATTGCAGAGCATGTATTAATGGGTGAATTTGCAGCTGAGAGGGCAGCACATTAATAACTGGCACAGCCCATCGTTTTGGTTACTCAGCTTCCATATGCACCCCTCTATACATATCTGAACTCTTACCACAGCCAAATAACTGTATTTCTACCTGATACACCAATACTTCTTTACATTTTCACTGTTCTCCTACTGGAGTCCCAAGTCGTTGCATCCATTGCAGGCTCTATTAATTATCCCTCAAATTCAGACAGACACCTGTCCAATATTGTTATCTAAGGACTAAATTGTAAAGTTAACTTCCAATAACTTGTACATAAAGTGAAAAAAAGGAAGTAGTAAAAAGAAAAAGAGAATGTTGAATATATACCAATTGACACAGCATTTAATAAGTATAAAGAAAATATGCAAAGCCACTGAAGCCCTTGTTACTATAACTGGTCTCAAGGTCTTAGTTCTTCAATTACCAATTACAATTTTCCCTCATCCTTGGCTAAACCTCACACGGTTTGGGTTCTTTGCCTGGTAGAGTGAGCAAAACCATTGTCCAAGGCTCTGAGTCCCCCATCAGTCAGCTTCTTTTCTTGTTGTGATAGTTTTCCATTAACTTTTACTACGGTGTGGCAGACAGAGTAAGGGCCCCACAAAGATATCCACCTAACCCTGGGGACCTGGGAATGTACTGTTATAAGACAAATATGAATTAAGGTTGCTAATCAGATAACTCTAAAACAGGGAGATTATCCTGGATTACTTGGGTGAGCCCAGTCTCACTGTGGTGCTTAGTGGAAAAAGCAGACAGAAGAGGGAGAACCAGAGATGGCAGTGTGAGGATGCAGCCTGACATTACCGTCCTTCCAGGTGGAGGAATGAAATCATGAGCCAAGGAATGTGGGCAGCCTCTAGAATCTGGGAAAGGTGAGGAAACAGGTTGGACCCTTCGAGTATCCAGGAGGTCTGTAGGTAGACCTGCCAACATCTTGATTTTAGCCTAGTAATACCCATCTCAGACTCCTGACCTCCTCATCTTACAGTTTTGCAGAAGCAATTGAAAACTAATACTGAGTGTCAAAGGTTTTGATATCCATGGATGACCTGGAAACCTGATCCATAGATTAGAGAAAAATCCATAATAAATAACAGCCACTGAGTCACTGAAGAATTTATCTTTTATTTGAAGTAACAATGTAACAAAGAGGTTGAAAGTATACAGCCATTCACTGGGCACTAACAATTTCTTCTCACAGAGGAATGGGGGATTCCACCCAAGACATCTTCTGTCCTGTCCTCCCTGCCATGCTTACCCCAACCATCTGCTTCTCCTTTCGATTTGCCCTGCATTTGAAACTGCTACCTGCTGAAGAACAGCATTTTTATATGTACAATGCTCTATACTCCACCCCCATCATTTTTAAACCTCTTAAAATTACTGGCATTTTCACTCTCTTTACAAAACAAAATAATAATTTTTCCCTCACTCTTACCAAAACTCCTGTTTTAATGCCTGTGTAACTGGGCTCAGATTTAACTATTCTAGAGAAGTCAAAAGCGTGAAATTGGGAACCAAACTATCACTCTCTTATGTAACTCCAGCCTTATCCCTCAACCACACCAGCTGCTGAAGTACTATACACAGGAACAAATCTCTCATTACTGTGTCTTCCAGAAGAGTGAATAATTTAAGAATTCACCCCTTTCTACCTCAACAAACTTCAGATCCTATAGAGACCTTCTAGATATACTGCGTTCCAAACAACAGAATTCCCAAACTTTAGAATCTGGCTCTTCCCATAGAGGGTACTTTCTAACTTCCTACACCAGTACATTCAGTTCACCTCTTTAAAGGCCCCTGGGATTAGGAGGATGAACAAGCTCTTGGATTAACACAGCTGTACTAAGACCATACCCTACACAAGGAGGGAGGGACACCCCTGTTGGCAAAAGTGGGTCCGAAAATTCAATTCCTCTATTTGAAATGAGAAAAGAGGTTGAGTACAAGTAATTCATTCATAACAAAGATACAAGGTGTAACACATTCAATACCTCAAAGGCAAGAAAAGATTAAGTTACAGAGATGGCATGTGCTTAATGTCACAGGATATCCCTGAGTTGCCGGGAGCTCCAACAGAATATGACCACCCCGGGATCCATCAGGCTTTTCCCAGAAGAAGATCATATTCACCCTCAAGTTTGAAGACTGAAGGTGTTATCTCCCTTTGGCACTGGAAAAGGAGGAGTTGAACAATCTGGAAACTTGACATGACATTCATTCTCATCTATACACTCTCAAGGGTCATAAGTTACCAGCAATTCAAATGTACAACAGAGAAATACAAAATACAACAAGATACTCTATACACACAGTAGTGGTTCGTCAGTTTTATCAAGCATTAGAATCTCCATCAAATTGCTGCTACTTCCACCTGAGCTTCTTTATTAGTTAACTGCAGAACCCAAGATTTGAATTTCTAAGAAATTCTTCCATGTTCCTGGGGCTGCTGGGTTCAAGGATTACATTTAAAGCTGCTGCATTAGAATACATAAAACACAGTTCTAGTCTAATGGGAAAAACGAACATTTACAGTGGCAACTGCAGGATTGTGGTGTCTGTATTAGGGTTAGAAAGGCTATTTTCCTATAAGTGTTTCCTCTTGAATGTTTATCCTGGAGACCAATTACCTCTTCACCTTTGGCCAGAGTTCAATTTTCTTTCCACGGGGGAAGTGGTAGCCAAGGAGGTAGTCAAGCAGATCTGTCCCTTTTATTTCTTCTGAGGGGTCCCCTCTGCCTTTTTGCTGCCACATTGGGAATTCTTTTCCCTTTCCAACAGCTCTTCAAAGATCTTATTGTGCATATAAAAGAAGACGTACCCGGTGCGAAGCCTAGCCTCCTGCATAAGATCCTTTCGGATTCTTGATACATGCGTATCATTGTAAGTGAACCACCTTTGCCTCTCAAAGTCATAGGCATCACTGATATAATGGCCTGTACTGGAAGTGTCCCCAAGGTGGCTGACAACAGCAATGAGCTGATAGGCATGACTATCTTTCACCTTGGTATTTCTTCTGTGTTCCTTTGCCTTAGGTTCTGGTTCTGTCTCCTTCACATCTTTCTTCCCAGGTTTTTCATTGGAACCCAGTGCACCTACAGACTTCACATTGGCTTTCTGGAGACTCGATGTTTTAGGTGTTCTGAGGTTCTCTGTGCACCCCTGGGCATTTGGATTCGGAAGGCTTTGAAGCAGTGCCAGCTGAAGGGTTTGTTTATAGAGTCTCACCCTTTTAGACTGTTGGATCTGTTCAGCCACTTTTTGGAATTCTTCTATAATTCTGTTTTTTTTATCTTCAGAAAAATTTTCAGTACTATTTGAGACCGTCTCAAAATCTACACACTCATTGCCTTTCTCATCTCTCTTCTCTTTTGGATTTGCAAGAATTTCTTCAGGAGGAACTTCTGCAAGAGATGCATCTGGGTCGTTACTGGGTTTACCTTCATTTTCAAGCTTCAGAGAAGCAAAGGTGTTTTCTAGATTCATCATTAAGTCAGCTGCTAACAGCTTTTCTTCAGGGACTGCTCCATCTCCTGAGTTTGTCAATTTGAACTCCACTGTACTCGGTTTAGTTCCCGGGCCTGTTTGCTGCTGTTCACTGCTCGACCCTTTACAGGGCATCTTGTGCTTCTGTGGTTCAGATTCTTTGTCTGATCCAATGTGTGGAGCCAGGGACTCTTGGGATGCCGAGGTCAAGTTTGTTGAAGGTGTCAATGAACTGATGAGTTCAGAATACGTTTTATCAAATAATTTAAAAATTTGGGATTCCCTGCTATGTGCATTCTTGCTCAAGGGAATAGGTGATTTGATGTTTTCACTGCAATGAGAAGATAACATTAAATATCTGGGAATAGCCACCTTCTGGTCATCCTTACTCAGTGCGTAAAACTTATTTAAGGTATAGCGTTTCAGATGAACAATAAGGATCCTGGGTAGCCTACTGAACTTGTGCTTTGCAAGAGAATAATTGCACTTACACTTCTCACATTTATACTCAAGCTCTTCTGGTTCGAAGAAATAATCAAAAGCAGACTGAATAGACACAGGAAGTGCTTTGCTTTTTGAGGGAATGTTGATGGAGAGAGAATTACACACTTCTGTTTTGTGAACAATGTGACTACACTCTTTACAAGTAAGAGAGAACAGCACCTCAAATTCAAAATTGCTGATGACAGGGCAGGCGAGCAGGTTGGTGGCAGCACTGTCAGCAAAAACTTGTTGAGGTGAATTTTCTTCCTCAGATTCCGTTTTCCTCTGCCTGACTGTGCTTAATTTGCCCTTGTTCCTTTGCATCAGATCTAAACAGTGACTTAAAAACTCATAAGCATCATTTTCTGTGTTGCCATAGAATGAACTTGCAACTGCTGAAACTTTTCTTTTAATATTCTTAAGTAACAGCTTCTTGACTTTTATGATATCCACATCTTTTATAATCAGCAGTTCTGTCATGCACATGTTAAAAGCATTGAGGTCAGCGCTGCTCCAGTAGAAACTGTGATTAAGTAAGTCTTCAGCAAAGGATGGAATTGAAAAGAGAGCCTGTAAAACTGCATTCATGTAACAGGTGTTCCCCAAGTTGATGAGGCCCTGTGACAGTTTCTGTGGGTAAAAGCCCAAGGTCTTTCTGAGTTTTTTCCACTCTGAGTTATCGTTACAATACTTTAGTCCCAACAGAAATGCCAAATACAGTTTCTCAGAGAGATTTTGGAAGAACACAGTGCCCTCTACAGAAGGGTCTCTTAAAAAACTGGCTTTGAATAAAAGCTGAAATTCTAATTTCTTATCCTCTTCTGTCTTTTCTGACGTTAATACTTTATTTTGGGGGCTTAACTGCCTCAGGCGGTCGCTCACGAACTTCCTTTTCCTTGTGTTTTTCAGGAATCCCTTTAACTCTGAGCCAGAGGAGAGCATCCTTTCCCTCATCTCACATCCCTTATCCTGTAACTCTTCACAGGGGTCTGTTAATGACTTTGATACCAATAAAAGTAGCTTCTGAAGGTCAAGTGCTCTGTTTCCTTCTTCTGCCTCAGAAGGTTCATTCCTTGACGTCATACTCACTTTGCAGAATGACTTTTCCTTGCTTTTCTTCTCAGCTGTCATGCTGGAAAAGACACCACTACCCATTTCAGACCCCATAGGTGGTTGAAGATTATTTTGATGGACTCAATCCAGAAACATCTTCAACTCTTTGGCATCTCTGCAGGACAATCTGTCAATAAACAAGAAGTTGTCATTTTGAAAAGTTAAATGCAGGTGATTTTGGTTTGTTCTATAGGATCTAAGGGCTACTCCTTTAATATTATTGTTAGCTGAAAAGTCTTATATTCTTTGTTGAAATAGACCACTAGTCTACCTTCCTTCCTTCCACTGTTTCAATGAACACTTCTTTTGACTTAAGACATCCCAGTTCTCTTCCTCCCTATTTGGACAAAAATATGTACCCTCAGGGCAGCCATGCTTTCTTTACAAGTAAAATACATGTACCCTAAATTATTGACAATCTTGAAGTTCCAATTTGTTTTGCAAGTTCACATTGAGATAAAATGTAAGAAATGGTTCTTTAGTTCTCTACAGAATGATTCTGTTTCTAGTGTTGCTTTTATACTAGAGCCTCTTCAGGTTCTGGATATACAGTTCTTTAGTGACAAAACCAATCAATACCCTTCAGGAGCTGTCTGCGGTTTCAGAAAAGCAGTCTTGATTCCCAAGCCTACACCACTCCTGGAAAAAAAAATCAAGAAAATTTATTTAAGCTATCAAAGATATACTTGGATAGAACTTCAACTCTACTCCCATACACTAAATCTCCTTTCCACTGCAATACTAGAGTCCCTTCTGATTAATTTCCCCACTTAGACTGAAATCATTACACACTTGGAAGACTTTCAATAACATGGCTGAAGAACACTATGAACAAGGTCTTAAGTGTGTGCATATAATATGCTAATCCTCCTGTCATAGAATGACCCCCTCCAGGGCAACCACAGTAAGTGAATAAGAAACTGTGAGGCACTATGTGGCCCTCAACCCAGTAATAGATGAATAGCCCTTGGTGTCCAGAAGTCTAGATGACTTCATACACAGGCCATTAAAAGTAAAACAATCTACCTCTTTCCAAATCCAGTTATGTTCCTTTCTTTCACATGGCACTGGGTGAAGTCCACATTCTACCCCACATGGTGGCTAAACTACCACTGCTTAAAGCAGGTACCAAAGAATTGGCTATCTCCGGCTCCAACAAGCCAAGACAACCTGGTGTATTCTAAGCAATCCCAATTCTTAAGGATAAATGCAGGGTAAACTGAAAATTTAAAGGCATGCTGAACAAGACCATAAAAAAACTCATCACAATTTTGAAAGCTGGCTAAAATGATGACTAAGACTCAGTTCAAGATTGTGTTTACTATGCTTTACTATTAAATAAACATACACATAGTAAAAGCGATTTGTAAGAAATAGGATAGGATGCGGGAAGAGTTTCCTATTGGCTCTAATGCTGGCTTTGCTGTTCCTATGGAAGCATGCCCAAAGTTTCAATGTCAGTATAATCCATGCAAAGTGAAGAATGCCCAGGGTTGAAAAGAAAACCAGTGGCCTGGTGCCCCTCTGGCCATTATACTGGGGGTAAAACCAAGTTGGCATTCAGGGGTCTATTATTAAGACATACAAATTTCTTACTAAATTCCACCTATGTTCATATTTCTACTTCCTATTAGTGCATCATCATATGGCCTAGAGAAAAACTGGTTATTGTCACGATGGATGAATTATGTACTAAACAACACCATCTCTAGGATCTTTAGTCCTGCTTTCCTCATACCTGCACTTATGTTCATGTTAACCTGTCTCAAGTAGATTCCCTAGGTCAGCTGGGCTGAGGAGAACTGTCATGAGACCTTACAGTGTAACTGGACCACCAGTAATAAGCAATGGGAAAATCACATGCAACAACCTCTAGCAGGCCTTAGGTCTTATATTCTTTTTTCCAGAAAATAATATCTAAACACCTTTAGGACATACCCAGCCATCTATGGACATGTAATAAGGTATTTTCATCCAGGGAAAATTATGGAACCTGTACAAGTGAGTGTGAAATTTGTTTGTGTTCCAGACAACATGAAATTCAGGCTGTAAAGTAACCATTTTTATTATTGCACTCTAGCACTGTCCTGATTGATAGAATTGCTTCCACATTCTTTCAATTGATTACATTTTGCAACCAGAATGAAGTGCCTCACATTTATTTCCCACAGACTAAATTAGGTCTGTTTCTTGAAATAATCCCATTTCTCTGCTCCCCAGGTGCCTTGCCCTTCAAACCACCAGTGAGACACAGATTTCAACAAGTTGGGTGTACCAAAGTTGCCTGACTTGGGTCATTTCTGGCTTGAGAACTTCAGTCATCCATTCTGACTTGCAGTTCATGAACTTCCCAGACAAGTTCTGAGGCTTGGAAAACATACCACTCATGAAGATACCTTAGCATCTTTTAATTAGTCTCACAAAATGATCAATGTATAACCTCCATTCTTCACATTTCCAAGTACACAATGCCCGCTTCAGGACAAAGCAGATATCTCTGTAGGTCCTGCTCAGTATCCTGTGGGGTCCCTAATTTCATCCTAGCAGAAAGTAAGTGAAATGACAGACAGAAAATCACTGAGCTAGGCAAAGAGACAGTACCATTAGGTTATGAGAACAGCATCAGGACAGTGCAGTAAGATCAGCACAACCTACAAATAAGAAGTCAAGGTAGAACTGAAAACTTAACTGACCACTAAATGGTCAGAAAAAGATCAACAAATCCCACCATGGGTAACTCTGCTTGTCAATCCTGTATCAATTGTAAGTGGTTAAAAAATACAGAAAGCTTTCAGCCAAATGCCCCAGCTTTCTGAAAACATCTTCAACTTCCTATGTGAATACTCACTCACTCAACTTGTGATACCATGTTCAAGCAAAGCAGACTCTTGGGTACCAAGTAAGTAAAGGAACGATTCCCAACACCCCAAATAGTCTAAAAAGACATTAAGATGGACTTGAAACATACTATTCCCCCTAATAACCAAGACATCATCCTGTTGGTAATGAATATTTCTCCCTAAAATAGAGTGATTCCTTCCAATGGCCAACAGTATACGCCCATTCACATTGAGCACTGTACAAATATGTTCAAAATGGCAATGTTCAGTGATCCTCCTTCACAGATATTTACCATTAAGCCAAGCCAAAACCTTAGGCATTGAGGTATCAGGTAAGCATATCCCACCCTCCCCCACTTGCTTCTTCCAAGCTTAGCCCTCCATAGGATACATCATTACTCTAAAGAAGCCATATGAGTGACTAGCTTCCCACTGACACCATGGTCAACTCTACAGAGTACCAGGCTCACTGACAAAAATAAGAATAAAAATAACAATTTCCTGCCCATCACACATAGGCTAGAGTGGCTCCTACAGCTGTCTGTGGCCACAGGGTGCATATAACCTGAGCTAGCTTCCTGTACTCAAAACCAGAAGAAAAGGATCAGATGTATGTTATGACTCAAAATTTTAAAATTCTGAGTAACACCATAGTGAACCAATCTGAATTAATGAACAGGTTAGCACTTAGCACTACAAATGTTTGTATCAGAAAGCATGTCCAAGACCTGACTGGAAGTTGTTTTCTCCTAGATGGTTAAATATTCTTCCTGAACCCTGTCTGTGTTACTAACTTGCTCAGCAAACCATGTCTTTATGGATAACGCTAAAGCAAATGCTGTCTAAATTATCAAAAACTCAAAACTGGTCGAGCATAAATAAGTGAGATTTCTGTTTTACCAAGTATTTTGTCTATCAACCTGTGTTCAGTGAAGTAGGGACTGCACCCATCCACACATGAAAGTTACATATGCATCCAAGTGAGAGAATGATCATATTTATCATGGTGGAAATGGGGCCATAAAAACATTCAAGCACAACAGCAAATTCAAGTTGTCTGGATTATTTATAGTTCACTGTCTTACTGTAGATACTAAGTAGGAGTTTAAACTCCTTGCTTTCCACAAAAAAGAACTCTTAACTGTTCCTATTTCAACCACTCGAGAGAACCTATAACCCCAGAACCACTTCCAGGGTGCATTCAATAAGTTTGCAATCCCAGCTCATCTGTATTTGCCAAAAATTGTTGTCTGTTCTTTCTGAGGATAGCTGAAATAATCTAAGACTCACTTGGCATTTCCACTCTCCATCTCTGAAAACACAGTTAAGAGACATGTTTCCAAAATGATGTCTCTATTCATTATTCCTTCTTTGCAATTCAGCATGCTTGTGTTTCATTCCAGAATAAAAGCGACTTCTTTTGAGCCCACTGAGCATGGAAAATGAAAATTAAGAAACATCTTGTGGACGAGCCACTGAGGGCTCTAATCACTGCTCCCATTCCCAGCACATCTTAAAGCTTAAATCACCTTCTTGACTCTGCTTCATGTCTCGAAGGCCTTTTTGTGCTTCCTTTGATTGCTTGGTTTTAGAAGCAAAATGTATCAGTTCTCTAAGAGTCCACTGACAAGCACTATGTGACTATTCCATGCAGTCTAAAATGAACTTCGCATTGGTGATATTCCTCCTCCAGTCCAAAGTCATGAGAGCTGAAGTGCTCTTCTCTTTCTCCTTTTACCCACAAACTCAGTCCATTAAATTGGACTGATCATCTACCAGTGCAACACACTGGGCTAGCTACCAATATCAAACCACAGCTGGAAACTTGTAAAGCTGTACTCCTCCAGTCAAATGTGGAGGCATGCTCTTCAGGGTCAAGAAGCTGACTGTAAGGTTAAAAAACTCCGGGTAGAAATGTCTTCTTTGTTGTTAATTTACTAATTCCCTTTACATTCATCTTCTTGGTCATAGTATTTGGCTGACCATCTGCTCTGTGCTGCATATGATGATTTCCTGAGTGTTTGCTCCATGCTGGGTACTGTGGCCAGTGCTCTTAAGGATGCAACGGATGTGAGCATTCACTGTACCTAAGCAATTTAGCCTCTAAATGCATCACTGTGTAAAAACACCACAATCAAAAAGGTCCTTGCCTCCAATGGGGACAAAGGATCTTGGGAAATATCCTTTAACTGCCATTTTCTAGAGCTTGACATATACCCAGGGTAGGAGCAGTGTTTTGTGAAAGAGGCTCTCCTGGAGTGAGATTTCTCAGTCCTTACCTCTGCAAAAAAACTCCGCAGGGCAAGTGAGAAATTGGCCCAAGGGAAGAATGCCTGCAAGCCCAGGAATCAAGAAGCCTATGTTATGAATTCTCTATTAAGATAATTTACTAAGGATTTGTGAAGCCTTTGGAGTATTCATCCTCTGTATCTTGTATTTATATTTCTTTCATTATTTCAAGAGCAAGAAAAACCTGAAAACCAATGGGAATACACCATTCACATTTGAACATGCATTTCTCATTCCCCAAGCATTCATTGCAAAAGGAGAAACTCTGGAGGTAGTTACAGTCTGGAGGCAGATGAACGAACCCTACGAGGCCCTTTAAGCTCAATGTCTATGAGAAAGTATTATCTCTCTGTCAGATCTCTTCCACTGGCATCTGACTACAACTATGATCACGTATATAAACTCAAGTGTTTATTTCACTGAACAGGTAAGGGTCAAGGTATAGGAGGTGGTTTGGTACAGGAGGTGAATTTTAATTACCATTTTATTTCCAACTTCTTACATTTGAGAACATGTGGAGCGTGAGAACAAAGACATACCTAGCATATGGTGAGAAATTCTGCTCAGATACCAAGCAAGCATCACTGGATAGAAATGATGAAGAACCCGTGAGGTAATGTGCTAGCCCCCATATGGAACTAGAAAAGACAGGGCCAGCTGATTACCATAGAGGTTTCCAGTAATTTCTGGGTATCTCCAATAATCCCAAGCAAGAGCTCTGAAAAACCAAACAACTTCAACTCACATTTATTTTAAACTAAAGGTAACTTGGTGAGTGACCTTGAATAAGTGAATTCCACTATCAGGGCGGATTAAACTAACTGGAAAATGAACATCTATCTAATCTCCCTTTGAGGACCCGTCCTTATGATACTATGATTCTAGGTAGGATGTACCTCATAAGCACACTGCATTTCCCAAAACAGTCCAAGTAAAAAATCTCCACCAGTTAGATGGCTTGCATTGGATCTGGGCTTAGAAAGTATCACCACCATACACAAAATATGGGAGGGTGAGTAGGTGAATAAGCTGGGTTTGGCAAATGGAAAGTGGACTTTCAAAACCCTAGTCATTCAACTGTCCATTCACTTCTTAAGCAAATATGTATGGAATACTAGCAAGCATTGTATCAATCTCTAGGTACAGAAGAATGAAAAAAAGGACAAAAACCATACTCTCACCAAACTTTCCTTCTCGCATTTTCTATGGGATAGAAAATATGCACACATAAAATACAGAGAATACTAGAGGTCTTAACTGCTAAAGAACACGTAAAATTAGGGGAACAATGTGTGTCAGTGGTGGCAGAGATGTGCTTGCTGCCTAGGGGGAGTGACCTGGGGAGGCCTGACTGATGCTCTGCTGCTGTGAGTAGCAGGGTCTCAAAGGAAGTGAGGGAGCAAAGAGACAGGTGCAGGGTGCTCCAGGAAGGAGCTAGAATAAATTAAAAGGCCATCAAGTAGGAGTGTGCTTGGCACATTAGAAACAGAAAGCAGAGCAGTGTGGCTGGAGAACAGTAAAGAAATACTAGACTAGTAACCTCACTGAGCAGCACAGAGGGCCAACTTTAGGCTAGTGGTCAGGAATTTACAGCAAGACCAGTCAGTATTATTTCTGTCTTTTATTTGTGTCTTTCTCCAGCTATATTCAGCTTTACAGCTGCCATGGTGCAGATGTATAACAGGCAGAGCCTTGAAGTGAACTTTGCTCAAGATTTTGCCATTCATAAATAACCAGGTAAGAGAAGAAAGGGAGCTGAAGGTGTAAAGAAGGCAGTGATTATAAATATGGACCAGAAAGGGTGAAATGGGAACAGAACACAGAACCATTAGAGGGCTAAAATCTTCTGAGATACTGAGGGGTGGGGTAGAAGCATTAGGAGACCAGGAGTTCAGCTCTCATTCCAGTAGCTATAATTCTGCCCCCTGCTTCTAAGCAGCTGTAAACTGCTTATAGACTTTCTTCTCCTATTCTCCTCCCACCTTCCCTTCTTGTTCTATTCATTCTCACCCTGGCCCAAAAGCTGGAAGTAACTAATGGGAATGGAGGTGGAGAGTTGGATGTTAGGGGCATGTGGACAGGGTTCAAGGCAGGCATGATCAGATAGGGAACCGGGGAAGGAGAAAGGAAATCATCCCCTCTCTTTTTTTCACCCTCCCAAGTCTGGGGTGAAGGTCAACACATCAAGAGGCCACTGCCTCTGGAGCATCAGCCATGAAATCCTGTCATTATGTTGTTTGGTCCCAGCTGCAGTACACATGGCTTTGGAGAGTGACTGGATCAGGGCAGACTCTGCTTCTTTTCTCTGGTTTAAAGGTGCATTTCTGCACTCAGCAAATATCCAAATCATTATATAGCAGAGAAATGCCATTATTTTGCCTCTTGACATACACTGCACATAAATCTCTCCATAGGAGGCCCTGACCAAAATGGGAAGAATTCTCTAGACTAGCAAATTGTTCCCATAAACTATTCAAGCTTTGAACCTTTTCTGAGAGACAGATTTGGCCCAGCATTTTGTTTTTGGTTTTTCATTCTTTTTAAATGATTATGATACTGCTATTAATAAGACATAGGTGATTAGGAAAACAGAATGCAGATTAGCTTCCAGAATTCATATATGATTTTATTAAGAAAGAGTGATCTTTTGTGAGAAAGTACATTCTTCTTATATTGAAACCATGATAAGTGAGGCTTTCTGAAAATTAATTCCTTTTCTCCTATTGCAATCCTCCTAGTATTTTGCAGCATTTCTGCTAAATATTGCTTTCATTTCTTTATTCACTTCCTAACCAAAACATCTGTTGATACCTAGAGTCAAGTGTGAACATCAACTATAGACAAGATGTAAAGATATAGCAATAAAATACTCCTGACCTCAGATAGGTTGTTAGACAACTATACAGAAAAAAAAATTGCAATACACAGAATGTATTACATAAGGTAAGTAAAATTCAGTTCTTGTTACCTAAGAGTCCCCATGTATTTTCTGCCACCTCAGCTTCTTCTAGTATTTCCTCTCTGTCTGGAATTCCTTAATAATCTCCCTAACTTTTGTCTTAATTCTACCCTTCCTTTTAGGAAGCTCTCTGAGTTTCACTCCATTCGAAAGAGTGCCAGGCCTGATTTTCGCTGTCTCAGAATTCCCCAAACATTCACATTTTGTAAGACTGTCATTAGACTGAGCTGCCTTGCACTGTCGCTTCATGTGACCGCACCACTAAGTTAACACACGCTGGGGAACAATGAGTTTGTTCTCAGCATGTGTGGCGTGAAACTTCCCTTTGCCAAGGGAGATGATAAAGTTAGACAAGAAGGAGGAGTCTTTTCAAGGTTAGGACCAAAGAATTCTAATTTTCCTTAAGAAAACAGCATCCAAAGTTTCAAAATAAGGGCTGGCAAGGCAGAAGGGAGTGAAATGAAGTGAGGTGCAACTGTTACTGGAGCACCAAGCGGACCAGGACATGAAGGCTGGGTTAATGTGGCAGAAGACCGAACACGTGAAGACTACGCTGTACCAAATTTAAGGTGCATTTACAGTTTAATGAAGAAATTCTGTTAAGGTTTTGTCCTACAGATATAATCGCAGAACTGTGAATCTTTCTAATAATCAGTATCTTTTACTTACGTAACTTTTAAAACAACCTCTAAAATGAGACGTCTTCCTCTTGTCTGGCAAGGTACAACTCAGTAACAAGAACCACATATAAGAATTGCTACACATGTGAAAAATATTGATAGTTATATCAAAGATTATTTAAGTATGGAAACTCATTAACAGGGAGGCCTGGGGCATTTCCTCTATTCCTCTGTCCAAGTCAAGTGTGGGGTGGAGACTAAGAATCAGAAATTACTTCCAAAGGAGACGTGTGATTACATCTCACACCCAGACTGCCTACTTATTTGAGCAACCAAAATATTTCAGTACAAACTCATGTATGAGGGTGTGAGACCTGAGGAAACTTGACATGTTTACTCTGGAGCTGGAGGGTCAAAGAAACGGGTGCCTGACTCAAACTGA